TGATTTTCAGGCCTCAGACAGGACTGTTGGCTGGCATTATCTGAAAGAGCGTGAGGCCCACTTCTCCACCCAATCTCAGCTCTCCTGGGCATCAGCACTTCTGGGCAAAGGCTCTTATCTCAAAAACCTTGCCACCACCCTTCTCTCACCCAAAGCAAGCCCAGTTTCGAAGACCACAAGGTAAAGGTATTCAAAAGTTTTCTGAACTCAGAGACAGTTGCTAATGGGTTGAGGAGCAAATACTTTAGGCTCTTTGCAGCCTGAATTCTGATGCAGGGGCATCCACTCCCCAACTCTTGACAATGCATGCTTTACTGTCTTTTTATTTGATGCTATTCTATATTCATAAGGGACATACTTGTCTCCTTGGTTTATATTTCAAAAAATCTGATTTTATAGAGTTTGTGTAGAGGAAGATCATGTGCAGTAAATATACCCCAACACGGAGGGTTTGATCTCTTGTTCTCCATCAGGGTGACTGGTAATGCCACCCATATCCAAGAGACTTTGGTACCATATTGGAACATACTGGACTAATGCAACTTGACAAAGTATGGAACATCCGAAGGCATTCAGGAGAGACCCACCACACACACACACACGAGGGGGGGGGTTGAGAAGGGGGGGAGAGGGGGAGAGAGAGAGAGAGAGAGAGAGCAAAGAGTTATCCAGCCCTAACTGTCAATAGCACAGATGCTCAAGAAGCCTGGTGGGGGGGGGGGGGGGAGATCGCCCTCTGGTAATGGGGTTATGATAACATTGATTGTTCTCAAATGAGCCACACCGCAGAGACGGGGGATAATTCGCCCTCTCCCAAGTCAGTATTTACCACCTTTTTTCTTCTTTAGACTCTCCCATTTTAAACATAATTTAGCTGTCTTTTTTTTCCCCTTGTGCTGCTGGGAAGAGAAAGGACTGGAGGGGGAGGGGAAGGCGAAGAAAAAAGGAGGATTAGAGGCTTGACCTGCTTCTCGGGAAGAGCCGCCACATTCCTCTCTCAGATGTGCTTTGTGACCAGGCAGGGTACAATTAAAAGCACAATAATTTGCTTGTTATTCAAGTCAGGCATTAGTCCGGGTAATGGCGTGCTTGGTGGAGAGATGGATTTCCTTGTTAGGCTCTAAGCACAGGATTAACTGAATTCTCCATGGAGAAATCTTGATTTGTTCAAGGTCTTTCATGTTTTCTACAGAGAAGGGATTATGTCTTCTTAAAGAGGGGCCTTGCTTAAAAAGCTACAAAGTATAAGAAAAGGATTTAGGGCAGAGGGGCCTGTGGTTAAGTAGCTGAGGGGTACAGGGAATTTTAGAGCAAGGGATTATTTAAAGCCATAAAGTTCAAAAAATAATTGGTTTAGCACTACTGGGTCAGTGCTGGCAAACGCACAGGAAGGCAGTTAAGCAAAGGCTAATATTCATTTTACTTTGGCTAATTATTGCACGGATCCAGGAAAGGAGGAAGGAGAGCGTGCTCCCTCCCTGGCAATCAGGAAGTCCGTTATCTTTGGTGTCCGTGCCTGGCAGGTTTGCTTTTTATATTGGGATGTCCAGAATGTAAGAATCACAGAAGTGTTACCTAAAACACAGTCACTCTTGTCTTGGAATGGACCTGCTAGCCCAGAAGCCCGGAGTACAAAAACACTATTAGGGGGTTTGGGTTTGATTTTTAGGTTGCTGAGGGCAGAACCCACAGCCTGGCACATGCTAGGCAAGTGCCCTACCACTGAGCTACAGCCCCCACCCAGCTCTGAATCTGCTGACACAAGCAGCCAGCAAGAGAGGATGTGAAGTAAAACCCTGACTTCCCCAGTTACCAGACTAGGTCAGTGAGTCTCAACCAGGAGCCACTTCGTCACACTTCCAGAGCTGCTGTTGTTACCTCTAGAAGATGCCGCTGAGATGAAACTGCAGAGGCTGGAGGTTCTCCTAAATAGACTGTAATCCATAGAACAGCAGCCAGCACAAGAAATTCTGCTTCAAAGTGATGTCCATGGTGAGAGCGAGAAGCCCCAATCTATACAAAGGCAATTTCTCTGCTTGGGTAGATCAAGGCTCCATCCTCTCTCCCCCCCCCATATCCATAATTCACGTGACTGGCCATACTTTGAATTTTCTTCCTCTTTCATTACTGGGCATTTTTTTTTAATTAATTTATTTATTTATTTAGGATTTCTGTCTCCTCCCCACACCCGCTTCCCATTTCCCTCCCCCTCCCCCGTTCAAGTCCCCCTCCCTCATCTGCTCGAAGAGCAGTCAGGGTTCCCTGACCTGTGGGAAGCCCAAGGACTGCCCACCTCTATCCAGGTCTCATAAGGTGAGCATCCAAACTGCCTAGGCTCCCACAAAGCCAGTACGTGCAGTAGGACCAAGAACCCCACTGCGATTGTTCTTGAGCTCTCATTATTCCTCATTGTCCGCTATGTTCAGCTAGTCCGGATTTATCCCATGATTTTTTAGACCTAGGCCAGCTGGCCTTGGTGAGTTCCCGATAGAACATCCCCATTGTCTCAGTGTGTGGGTGCACCCCTCCTGGTCCTGAGTTCCTTGCTCGTGCTCCGTCTCCTTCTGCTCCTGATTTGGACCATGAGATTTCTGTCCGGTGCTCCCTTGGGGGTCTCTGTCTCTGTCTCCTTTCATCGCCTGATGAAGGTTAATATTCATGAGGATGCCTATGTGTTTGTCTTTGGATTCACCTTCTTATTTAGCTTCTCTAGGAACATGAATTATAAGCTCAATGTCCTTTATTTATGGCTAGAAACCAAATATGAGTGAGTACATCCCATGTTCCTCTTTTTGGGTCTGGCTTACCTCACTCAGGATAGTGTTTTCTATTTCCATCCATTTGTATGCAAAATTCAAGAAGTCCTTGTTTTTTACTGCTGAGTAATACTCTAATATGTATATATTCCATACTTTCTTCATCCATTCTTCTGTTGAAGGGCATCTAGGTTGTTTCCAGGTTCTGGCTATTACAAACAATGCTGCCATGAACATAGTTGAGCATATACTTTTGTTGTATGATAGGGCCTCTCTTGGGTATATTCCCAAGAGTGGTATTGCTGGATCCAGGGGTAGGTTGATCCCGAATTTCCTGAGAAACCGAAACACTGCTTTCCAAAGTGGTTGCACAAGTTTGCATTCATTACTGGGCATTTTTACAAATCAAAAAAGAAGGGTGTTGCCCTTGGTATACTATGTTAAACCTAAAACCTGCAAGGAGAAAAAAACCAAATCCGTAATTGTCCAATTAAAGCAAGCTGTATTTGGGGGCTCACCTGGTGCTGGCCAGCAGGCTGTCTCACCCTAAGAGCAGCTCCTGCTGGTCTCCTGAGGTCCTTTTCACAGGAGAGATAAGGTGTTCAAGGGGCAAGAGGGTTGGCTGACCTACACCGTTATAAAAATACAATGAAAGGGGAGAGGCAAGGACAAGGGTAAACATAATGTGTGTGGGGGTCTCGAGTTTGGTGTGGGTTGACATATGTGACTTGATGTTTGTAAAACTGGAAATTACTCCTAATTACAAACAGAAACTTTAACTTGCAAAGACTTAACACAGGACAAACAGAAACTTATTCTTTAACAGCAAACAGAAACCTGAACCTGCCCAGGACAAGCAAGGATTTGTTCTTTAACAATCCTAACTGCAAACAGAAACCTTTACCTGCAAGGCACATGGTTCCTGTTTTGGTCTCAGATCCTAACTGCAAACAGAAACCTTTACCTGCAAGGCACATGGTTCCTGTTTTGGTCTCAGATTGAACGGGAGGGACGACACAAACCCCCCTTCCCTGACTGGTGCACACCCAAGGGAGGAAAAGGCTGGCTTCCACATCCTCCCCCCCTGCAGACTTCTGAAGACTTGCACTCCCTTCTCTGAGATGGCTCATTCCTCCCTGTGTGAGGTCTGTTCAGTCATCATTTGTCCTGCAGCTTTAACCTGGTTAAGAGCCCACAGCCACAAGATATTCATTTTCTCCCCGGTGAATAATGATTCTCTTCCTGAGGGAAGTTAACACCCTTGACAGGAGCTTCCAGGAAGCTCATTAAAGCCAAGAGGCTAGGAATCAGCATAGCCATCACCTCACTGGGAGAGCCTGAGGATACACTTAACCTCTGCCTCCAAGGATGGGGAAGGGATCTAAGGAGAAAGCCTGAGAATAAAAGGTGAACACACCCAAAGTAGGCCCCTGTCAATCAGCATGCAGACACAGGAGGACTGTGAAGAGGGAAGGAGCCTCCCCTTTCCTGTGTCTTCTAAGGCTGAGTCACAACTTTGCCTTCACCGGCTTCTGCCCACTCTCTACACAGTGATTGTTCTCTGTAAAATGACTAATCCCATTAAGCCATAACATCCTGGCCTCAAGGAACAACCAAGGCCTTTCTTACTTCCTTCTCTATTCTCAGGAACTCTGTCCTCTTGTGGTACATCTCTTCTCTATCCTAGAACATTCTCCCTCTGCTCACAGTCCCACTGGTCCTGATCTCCTCTCACTGGTCCTCCTATTCATCCTGTTCCTCATCTTCCCTCAAAGCCAGGCCAACTGTAGTTGACCTCCATTGCTCCACTGACTCCACGGGTCCCTCTTCCATATCTCTCACAGCTGCCCTTGCTATAATGGTCTCTTTCTCTATAACTCTGGAGTCTATTACCTCACATTCTTCCATTCTCCTGGGATCCTCCCCCTCCTCCTCCTCTTAGGCTTTGCTTTCACCATCTTGAAATAAAAGAAAAATTGGTTTGGTTTGGTTTGGTTTGGTTTTTATGAACCTTTAGAAGGGTAGGTTTTGTTAGGAAAAATCTTAAGATGAGCCTCTCCACTGACACAAAATAACTCCAATTAAACCAGATCAGACCAAATGCCACGTTTAATAAATGCTGCAATCCCAGGTGGCCGACAGAGCATGACAAGGAGAGAGAAAGAGACGGGGGGGGGGGGGGGTGACAGGTAAAACCTGAAACCGTGTGTTCCTTTTTCCAGCATGAGCCTAATTACCCTGTGGGAGTGGTTCTGACCCTCCCTGAGAAGGGTCAGCACTTGGCAGGCTGGAAGTTGAAGTCTGGACCAAGGCAACTCTCAGGCCAGGGGCTCGGTGATGCTTCCAATCATCCCAGACTTCTTGGATATAGAGATGTCAGAGAGCTGGAGGTCTCACTTTCAATCAAACATCCCAGAGTCCTTGGATATAGGGGCATCAGCCCCAGTCTGGCTACTTCCTGTGGGCATGGGGCCATGTGGGAGAGGGGAGAGCTGGGAGTTGGTGAGCTCACACTCAGCGAGAGGTGTGGCTGGAGTACCATCTGGTTTGCTGTCATCCTGGAGACCTCAGGCAGCTGCTTTTTGAGGGATATGAGAAGGCGGGTGGCTAGGAGAAAAAAACATTATTACTGGCCCTATGAAATATGACTAGCCATGTGATGGGACACAATAGCAGATAAAACCAGATTTTAGTTGGCAGCTGTCCTTGACCTAGGAGAGTTGGTACCAATGGTGTCATCCCAGGAGCTGGTACAGGTGTTTGGCATTGTCTGAAGAGTACTTTGTGAGTTGGTCTTGGCCCAGTCAGCAGGAGTGACCTGTAAAATATGCTTGAAACTGACTGGGGTTAATGTAACAGAACTTTTGCCGGAACCTGTAAGAGAATGGAACAGATTTACATCTTGGTGTCATAGCAAACGGCTATTGCTTTAGGTTAAGACAATTAAAGAAATCGGGAACCCTGGATTTTTTAAGACACACCTGAAACCTGTCAGGCACACCTGCCTGTATTTTAGCAGGAAACGTCATTAAATGTCATGAATGAAGTAATAAGTTAACAGTACCTGAAGTCGTCAAATGCCATTAGACAGATCTGGGAGGGATAAATGAGCAAAAACGAGACAGCCTTTTAGCTACGCAGGCGATCCCAAATCCTCTCCTTAGTCCTTGGAGAACGCCAGTCTTAGAAGCAGTGCTTGCCATTAGTACAAGAGGCCCAAAGATTTTTCTTGTGGGGGGAAGATTTAGTCTACCTGTCTTGGCAGGATGAGATCGATTCCCTAGAAGGCATCTAGGAAGGTGAAGAGGTGAAAGGCCGCTTTTTGCTGTGTGGGTAGGTTTACCAAACCCAAACGAAAGGCCTGGAGGCAGAAGGTCTTCTGTCTTCTTGGAGGAGCTAAAGGGTACTGCAGAAGCTGCATGTCTGTGTTAGAAGTTCTTTTGTTAAAATGCCATACCCTTAGATCTGTAAAGGCACTTGAGAATTAGGTACCATAACCTGTTCTTTTTAACTGGGCATATAAGCTAAATATAAAATTTACTATCTTATTTATTTTAAGTATAAGATTCAGAACTGTTAAATGTACATGTCATCTTTATAATGTTTTCATCTTGCAAAACTGAAACTCTATACCCATCAAGCAGCAACCCCCAAGTCCAAGTTCTTGATGCCCACCATCTACTTTTCCAAAGAGTCCCTAGATACACTGTTGTGGGATATGTGTGCCCTGTGTGAAGATGTAGTGCTATGATTGGTTTAATAAATAGCCGAATGGCCAATAGCTAGGCAGGATTCTGGGCAGAGAGAGGAAGTAGGAAGAGATAATCGAGGTGCAGAGGAGATGTCAACAGGACAAGGAGGGAGTCGGACATACAGAATGAAAGAAGAAAAGAGTCACATAGTAAAACATATATTAAGGGCTGGAGAAATGGCTCAGAGGTTAAGAGCATTGCCTGTTCTTCCAAAGGTCCTGAGTTCAATTCCCAGCAACCACATGGTGGCTCACAACCATCTGTAATGAGGTCTGGTGCCCTCTTGTGGCCTGCAGGCATATACACAGACAGAATATTGTATACATAATAAATAAATAAATATTTTTAAAAAAACATAGATTAATAAAAGCAAGTTAGTTTAAGTTACAAGAGCTAATGGGACAAGCTTAAGCTAAGGCTGAGCTTTTAAAATGAATAATAAGTCTTCGTGTCATTATTTGTGAGGTAGCAGCCAAAAAAGTATTTTAAAAAATCCAATTACAATACAGAGCTGAGGTAATAGGACTCTCAAGAACGCTGTCTGCCACCTTCCTGTCAAATGGCATATTGATGGTGAAGGACAACACTAACAATGCCTCTAGTATCGCAAGCCCCTGGACCCTTGGAGAGATGGTTGCCTAGTGTGGAGAGAGGAACAATGTCAAATTCCTCACTGCAGCACTGGGGAAACGACTCAGTGGCAGAGCATTTATCTGGCATGCATCAGAATTTGGGTTACATCCCCATTACCAGAAAGGAAACAGAGGAAGAGAAAACAGAAAAAAAGGAAAAAAGTAAATTCTAACTAGAGAAAATGTCCTGCCTAATCAGGTTCAAACCCCATAGAAGCAAAAAGCCTATGTTTGTGGACCCACATGCCTCTACTGCTCTTCTAAGATATGCAAATACTAGAAATCAAACGCCACCTTTTGTGGGGGGTTGTAATATTTATTCCTTTGAGTACCAGTATTATATCATAATTGATTATTAAGGAAAAATGGCTAAGTTAAACCCATTCCCAACATTAGCCTCGAAATTGTCAGTGTTCCCTTCTGTGAAAATGGAAGATGGAGAGCACAAAGCAAAAGATCTACAGCATAAATGAAAGCACAGAGTCACAGCCCTAAGACCTGAGACCCCTCTCCCCTTTTTCTCCAGTTAAGCTAGAGGATATGGGCGTCATCCAGTTCAGCAATTCTGTGTTTGAACAGCCGTATTTTCCCATTCTAACTGCATAGGACTTCTTGACAACAGACAAGCACTGTTCTCAATTACAATGTGGGCCTACCATGCCAAGAAGTCACCAAATCTATGTCCATACTGAGAGATTCAGTGGCATTATATTTCAGGGCCATACATCCTTGGATGTAAGAACCCCAGGATTCTGACACTAAACTGAAAACTTTAAACAAGTTTAAGCCTATCTAGACCTTCTTTTTCTTACCCTCATGCATAAATAGGGTCTTCATCTCTACAAAATTAAGCAACATGTGGAATAAAGAGGGCCTCATATCATGTACTGATATTGTGAATCAAACACAAAGATATAATCCCTGACAAAGAACAGGTCCAATTCTAATTTATCCTCCTTACAACTATACAGAGTGATTCATTCAGCAGACGCTGCTCAAACTTTGAATTCTGGTCTTTTCCCAGGGTACTGACAGGTAGGTGACAGTCTTACCATGCAGAACAGTGGCAGCAAGCCACAGCCCCCAGTCAGCTTCAAGTTCACAAGAGAAAACTTGGGAGTTCCACAGTGCAGTATTGTGGAGCTATAGTGCTTAGTAAGTTGGGCATATAAATGTACTTTCAATTCATGAGTTTATAGTGTCATAACCCAACCATAAGCCAGGGAGCAGCTCTGCATGAGTAACCTATCAGCCTCATGACTTCTTGAACAGTACTGCTATATGAAGGCTGACATGGGAGCCACCATGATAACACACTTCACAAAAAGTTAAGAGTTAATACTCACAGACGTTTCAAATAACTGTTGTTCAGAAACTGTCCCTTCCACCTGAGCATCCCTTAAGTACCTGTGATGGATGGCTTGTTGGCGCATGTTCCCACCCTCATTTCTAAAAGAACTTATGAGTTCATCAAAGTAACACTTCCAAAGAGCTATGAATAAGGAGAAAAAACAGTTCCTGTGATAAGCAACTGCCGCTTGTAATAATTTAAGATTTTCTCATCACTGCACCACTGTTCCTGGGTGCTATAAGAATTCAGGCTGAGGGGGCTGGAGAGATGGCTCAGAGGTTAAGAGCATTGCCTGCTCTTCCAAAGGTCCTGAGTTCAATTCCCAGCAACCACATGGTGGCTCACAATCATCTGTAATGAGGTCTGGTGCCCTCTTCTGGCCTACAGGCAGACACACATACATATATTGTATACATAATAAATAAATAAACAAACAAACAAATAAATAAATAGAATTCAGGCTGAACAAGCCATGATAAACAAGCCAGTAAATAGCACTCCTCCATGGCCTTTGTATCAGTCCCTGCCTCCAAGTTCGCGTCTTGAGTTTTTGCCCTGACTTCCCTGGAAGATGGACTACAAAGGAAAAAGAAATAAACCCTCTCCTCTCTCCAAGCTGCTTTTTGTCATAGTGTTTTATCACAGCAGTAGAAACCCTAACTATGACAGACACCGGTACCAGGAAGAGCCAAAAACTGGGCTGTGAAAATTGAATGGCAGGTGACCCTGGCCAAGCAATCTTCACCTCAGCAAAAGCCCCTGGCTTCTACTGCACACAGGTCAGCACTGTGTGATAAACATAGAATCCCTGAAGAGGTCACTTGTGAAGGTGCAGCCACAGCTGCATCTGAAAATTTAGGATTGAAAAGATCTTGGGGTGAAGTTGAGGCTTGGAACTGTGTGTCAGGATCAGAGTCCCTGAGGGAGCCCAGAAAATGCTATTGGTGAGCAAGTGCAGCCTGGTCGCAGCAGGCAACCACGTCATTTCAGAGATGTCAGGATCACAAGTGCCAAGTGGAACCAGCCTGAGCCTTCAAGATGTCCTATGTGTTCTAGGACAAACACTTTAGAGCCTAGAAGACTGTGAGTTCCAGAAGTCTGACATTGAGCCTTAAACTAAACTTTGGTTTTGGTTTCATCTAATTGTAGACTGTGTCCTGATTTTTTTTCTTCTTAGAGCAAGGAAGTATTTAATGTATTTTCAATTTTACAAGAAGTCACAGTTACTAAAGCTTAGAAAGTGTAGAGGGGCTTAGGATTTAAAAAGAAAAAAACATTTGGTATTTTAGAGAGACTGAACTTTCAAGGTGGTTGAATTTTTAGACTATGAAACTTTAGAAATTGAAGTAGTTTATATGGTAATATTAATATCAATATACCATCTTGGAGGGAAATAAGAAAGGAAAGGTTATAGTTGAATAATGATGCATTTGTGTATCAGGTTGTCAAGGGGTCAGTTGTGCTACCTAGTTTTATGTCAACTCAACCCAAGCTAGAATCATTGGAGAAGAGGGAACCTCAACTAAGAACATGTCCCCACCAGACTGGCCTGTGGGCAAGGATGATGTACATCTTAATTGATGGAAGAGGCTCCTGCTCACTGTGGGCAGTGCCACTTCTGGATCATGACGCTCAAAGAGAGCAGGATGAACAAGCCATGATGAGCAAGCCAGTAAGCAGCACTCCTTCAAGAACCCAAGCAGGACAGGAATGCCAAGTAGGACAGGAATGTGGAGTCACAAACTGAAGCACATGCCATGAAGGAGGACTTCAACTGAAGTTCTGTCCTCCCAACTGTAGCTTGTGTTGACATAAAACCAGTCAACAGAGGCCTACCCTAGTTAACTTTATCAACTTGATACAGTCTAAAGC